CTTGACTAAATGAGCAAAAAAATTCAGGGTTCTTTGAATGGAACTGTATCATGATAAGAATTTGATCTTGTGGGAATGCATTTACATTTTATTTTATCATGCTTGGGATCAAAACCATCTTCAAAAGAAATTCAAGAGCACGAGATGGAAATGCTATCTCTCAAATAACAGAAAGAAGAAGAGTGTTTTTGAGACAATGGGGTTGATAAGGAAGTTTGAGGCAGTGAAGAAAGAAAGGTCTCACATGGTGGGAGAAAATATAAAAGCAAAGCAGCAACTACAAAACATGGATGTTAAGTGATCTTCCTGTCTATCCAATCTGAAGAAAACCATACTGCTGCTAGGAGTTCATCTTAACATAAGTTTTCACAGTTAGAGGCTGATATTTAAATTTCATAAGAAGTTTGACAGTGTGGTCGTGTTTATTAATTGGATTGTTAGTTATATGTGTGCTAGGTTTTGTGTTTGATGACTTCCTATGATAAAAAAAGGAAAAAAATTGAAACGGAAATTAAAAAAGAGAGAGAGAGTAGGGTGTGCATGGGAAACAATTGTTGAAGGCTCATTATTGTACAGATTGATTAGGAGTAAAATTTTTCTGGGCTTGATCCGGTGGTTATTATCTCTCACATTGTGAGAGTTTTCCACGTTAAAAAATCATGTCTTCTACAATTTTTTTCACTTGATGCCTTTTGTTAAGGGTTAAATTACTTTATACCAAGGAATAAAAAATCAAACCAGACCGGCCGGTTTAGGCCGGAAACCGGCCAACCGGCCAGTTGTCCGGTCCGGTTTGCCATTTTAACCGGGAAGGAATCAACCCGGTACAAATCGGATTAACTCGGTGTGAATCGGAAGGAACCGAGCAACCCACTAGATTGAGCAGGTTGGCCGGTTCACTTTTTTGAGAAAGAAGACGAAGGTGTACTGGGGAAAGGAAGAAGAAAAGAGAGGGAAAAGGGAGGAAAATAATGGAAAAATTTAAGAAGATACCATAAAATAGAAGAAGTAACGAGCAGTAACAAGGAAGTTGAGATTCAAGCTGCAAAATAGGAGGAGAGGGGAGGAGGAGAAGGTGTTCACAGGTCCGGCCAGACGAAAATGGCATTGCTCAGGTTGTAGAAGCGCACTGCTAGCTTGTTGAATCGCCGTAGAGCCAAGAGCCAAGGTCTGGTTGGATTAGATAATAAAAGTGGAAGAGGCTGTTATTTCTAAGGGGAAATCACAAATAAAGATCCTCGAATTAGCAAAATCAATCTATGGTCACCTGAATATGCCAAATTACCATGAGGGACTCGGTCTCAAATTGCAAATAGCAAATGTTGGTGAAAAGACGAAATTGCCCCTCAGTCAATCAGATTCATGAATGAAGGCTGAGACAAACAATGTGATCGTGGAGAGCTTGGAGGAGAAGATTGGTGGTGCACATGGTTGAGAATCAAGTAAGTAATGTTTGCAATGTTTCTAAGTATACTCTTTTTCTTCTCTACCCTGTAAGACCGAGGAATGTGATGTTGTTCTTGAATGTGGTGAGTGGTATTATGGGTCGTTGGGTGATAGGTATGGAGGGAGTGAGCGGTGGAGTTGATCATGGAATAATACTGTTTAAGGAGGGTTCGGTTGGGTTGAGATTCAAAATATTAGTCTTTGTAGTCAGATTGTTGACCTGTGATTTTCATGACGCAGGTTGCCACTGATCTCTGTTAGGAATATCACGAATGGGAGAGTGGGGGAGGGGAAATGGAAGGAGGTAATAATTATTAGTTTGAGTATGAAGTTTAAGGTGGTGCAGTGGGGGGAGAGGAGTAAAGATCTTGTCATTTAGAATGTCCAACTTGTAAAACCCTAATGTCAAGTGGGGAAGAGAAGAGTTAGTTGGTCTTGATTTGTAAATGCAAATTTGATTGAATAAAAGTATAGTGAAGCTGATATATTTTTTTATATGTAAATTGTTGTTCCAGGTTAGGATGACAAAATGAACTGTAACAATGGGTCAAGCTATTGGAAGGAATTGTTTTGTTTTTTCCATGTTGGTGGGTATTTTGAAAGAAACAGTGAAGGTGAAGTTAAATACGGTGGAGGGAGTGTGAGAGCAAGCAGCATAAAAAAAGGGATAACACTGGAGGAATTAAGGGGAACAATATCACAGTTGGTACACAATGATGCTAAAGGGTGCGAAATTAAGTACACGGTTAAGTTTGCTGAGGGCACACTGGTTGATCTTTATGATGAAGGTGATATTTGCAATATGTTTAGATATAACGATAGCAGTGCTCATTTGTATGTAGCAGCGAAAGGGAACCAGAAGGAAGGTGGAGCAGTGAATGATGGAGAAATGTAAGTGGTTAAAGTTTTGCAGTTGATAGTTATTGTTCGGTAATGGATTATTGTTAATACCCAAAGAAATGTTGTTATCATGTGTACTGCGCAGCAGTAGAAAGTTGTTATTTGGTAATGAATTGTTATTAATTTAGATATAAATCTTGTAATTAAGGTAATGAAGTTGCGGTTGGAAGTTGTAATTTGGTAATGAGTTGTTGCTAATTTCAATTCAAATGTTGTTATATTGCTTAGTCTGTTACAGTAGTAAGTTGTTATTTTATAATGAATTGTTGATATTTCCCATACAAATCTTGTTATTATGCTAACTTTGTTACAGTAGAATGTTGTTATTTCCTAATGTGTTATTGCTAATTTCTATTCGAATGTTGTTATTATGGGTGTAGGGGTGAGAATTTGTTTGGGCTGTCGGCAGAAATGACTGAAGGTGTGGTGAACCTTGGTGATAACTATGAACCACTCATTGTTGACTATGGTGCTGAATGCCTAATGTATGAAGGAGGGGTTTAAGTCAGACAAACTTTAGTGACGGTTCAGGGAGTGAAGGGACATTGAGGGGTAATTTGAATTGCATGAAATGGGTTGGAGTTTTTGCAGGAGTGGGGCAATATATTCCACATGCCCAAGCTTTTAGGGAGGCTGTGTACAGGTTTAGTATTGCACAGAAGTTTGCAACGACATATGTGAGAAACAGTAGGGAGAAGATGAATGTGAGGTGTAAAGTGGAAGGGTGTCCATGGAAGATTTGTGCAAATGCTGTTGGGAGGGATACTCTTTTATTACGCATGACCACATTCGTTAATGAACACATTCATTCAGCGCAAGATAACCTAGATGTCACTTATACTGGCAATGCTACGTTGACGTCATCAATAATACTTGAGGAGATAAGGAACCATACCGAAAAGCGTCCTACTGAAATAAGGAAGACACTGGAAAGGAAATATGGTGTGAGGCTAACATATGCTCAAGCTTACAGAGCAAAGGAAAAGGCCATGGAACACATACATGGGAAACCGGAAGAATCCTATATGTTCATACCATGGATATGCCAAAGATGGAAGGAAACTGATGATAAAACAGTTGCTGAATGGGCTGCCGTTGGTAATACATTTGAGCCGGTTTTCATTGTATATGGTTCGTGTATTGAGGGTTTTTTGAGTGGTGCAAGGGCTATATTATATATTGATGGAACTCATTTAAGTGGTCCATATAAGGGGACACTACTCTCAGCGTCGGGATATGATGCAGATAATGACTTGTTGCCTTTTGCAATAGCAGTGGTGAAATCAGAGAATCTTGATGACTGGACTTGGTTTCTGTTCAAAATTAAAGAAATTGTTGGTTCGGTGCAGGTGACAATTGTGTCAGACCACACAATGCCATAATAGGAGCTGTCCAAGCAATATTTGGAGGTGAAAGACATGCGTATTGTTATAGGCATGTGAAGGAAAACTTCAGCGCTGAACAAGTGAAAGTAAACAAAGGTAAAAAGACAAGCCAATGGTCAAAAGAAGATGCATTAAAGGTTCTTGATAGAGTAGCTTATGCAAGGGTTGATAGTGACTTTGATAATGCAATGGCAGAGCTGAGAACTATGTCTCTGAGTTACATGATTGGGTTATCAATCAAGGTGATGTGAATAGGTGGGCAATGAGCAAGTTCTCATTTAAAAGATGGGACAATATAACAACCAATATAGCTGAGTCTTCCAATTCTTGGATGGTGAAGGAGAGAAAGCATAATGTGGCGCAAATGATCCATGAGCATCGGGAGAAAGTAGCAAGGAAGATGCATGCATCATATATGTTTATGAGTAAGTGGAGGAATTGTGTTGGGCCAAAAACCGAGGCAAAGGTTCTGGAGAATGTGTATTTCAGTAGGTATATGAGCTATGACAATTATGGAGGCGGAAGACTGTGTGTACATACATCTCGTGGAGATCAAAGAGTAGACCTTGGTCTACACCAATGTAGTTGTCTTGGTTGGCAAATGTCAGGAATTCCATGCTGCCATGCTTGTGCAGCCATTAAGACTGTGGGGGGAAATGTATATGAATATGTTGAAGACTATTACAAAATTTCAGCACAGGAGAAAATATATGGCAGGAGCATGGTTCCAGTGGTAACAATCGATATGCCTAACCCAAATGACTATATGTTTGAGAATCTTGCTGAACAAACCCTGTTTTTACCACCAAATACAAGTAGGCCTCCTGGAAGACCAAGGACTAAACGGCAGGAATCACAATTCCAGAACAAAAAAGTCTACCATTGCACCAGATGCCACCAACCTGGACACACAAGGAGGAGTTGCAAAAATCCCAACCCATTTTGAAGTTAATTTCTACAAGTGACAACTAATTTTTTGGTGTATATACGCTCCACTCTTCTTAATTTTTTTGGGAGAAGGGTGTTGCTAGTTGCATAGCTACACAGCTATTTTTGCAAGTAATATGTTTGCTGACAAGGAAAAAAGAAGTCAACGATGTTGTTAATGTCTTTTTGTTATTGACTATTGCAAAATCTGGTTGTTGTAAACGGACCTCTTACTTTTTGCTAAATGACATTACATTGCTGTAAATTCCCTTGGTTGTATTGTAAATGCAGACTGCTTACTTGTTATATCAGCAAATAGAGGTTGCTGTCAAACCACATGTGCTTTGTGGTTATTTGACTTAGTATTGCTGTAAACTCCCTTGGTTGTATTGTAAATGCAGACTGCTTACTTGTTATATCAACAAATAGAGGTTGCTGTCAAACCACCTGTGCTTTGTGGTTATTTGGCATACTGATGTTGCCAATTGGTTAACAAAACTTGTTATTAAGCAAAGTGAAGTTGTCACTGGGTAAACAAAAGTAGAAAGGCTATCATTTAAATGAGAAAAAATGAACTTCACCAATTGCACTTCCAAAGTTGTTATTTCACAAAGTGAAGTTGTCACTGGGTAAACAAAAGTGGAAAAGCTGTCATTTAAACAGGAAAAAATGAACTTCACCAATCAGACTTCCAAAGTTGTTATTTTGCAAAGTGAAGTTGTCACTGGGTAAACAAAAGTGGAAAGGCTGTCATTTAAACAGGAAAAAAATGAACTTCACCGATTCCACTTCCGAAGTTGTTATTTCGCAAAGTGAAGTTGTCACTGGGTAAACAAAAGTGGAAAGGCTGTCATTTAAATAGGAAAAAAATGAACTTCACCGCTTCCACTTCTGAAGTTGTTATTTCGCTAAGTGAAGTTGTCACTCGTCAAACAATAGTGGAAATACTGTAACTTCATTCAAAAAAATTAAAGTTCATGTATCGCTTAACCGGAGTTGTTATTTAGCATACTGAAATTGTCAGATGTTAAACAAAAGTGGAAATAGTGTCATTTTATTAAAAAAAAAAGGTACTTCATGTATTGCTTAATGGACTTGTTAATTGGCATATTGATGTTGTCATACGTTAAAGAAAAGTGGAAATAGCATCACTTGAACACAATTTCAATGATGTCAATAAAAATATCATTTCACCATTACTAATTGTCATAACTGGGTAGCAGTTAGGCCAGACAACAAGTTCACTACACATAATGATAACGCAATAACATTATCTACAGTCAATGTCCTTCATGGCCCAAATTCTTTCTCTATAGGGACTTTCTCCTCCTTTTGGACGTTCGCCCCTTCTGTGGATGTGGAATAAGATTCAGCGCATCCTCACGGCATTCATTGTTATCATGGTTCACCAGCCACCACATTAGATCACGCCGAAAAGCTGCCACATCTCCCTGCAAAACAGATTCAACAGCAAGTTAATCTTACTTTGCCCCTTTACCAGTCACAACAATTAAGCAAACCATATCACCTGGGTGTATTCTAGTGGAATATTGGGTTCCCATCTGCTGAGCCATATTAGGACATGCACCCCACAGTCCCTCCTAGGAACAACACCACCATCACAGTTTAACAATTCGAGAATAAATATAGGAAATCACCAAATTACATGTGCAATGTATGTATACTCACAAATTACTCTGTTGAGGTACATCAGGCCGCACAATTTCCAAATTTGGCATTTTCTCAGTCAAATCTGGCCTAACCATGCCAATAATGTCGTGGAACCTTTCTCTCTACACATATATCAATATTCATCAACATCACTATAATTTCAGACAATAATAATACAATGTAATATGCCCAGGTGATTCTTACACATCCTGCTATGGCCATTTCCTAAGGGTCATAGGTGACTGCTTGCTTCTTCTTAGTTGTGGTCTTCTTAGGCTGAACAGTTCCTCGCATGGAATCCAGGACATAGAACTTCATGGTGTTGGGTTCAAGGGCAAAGCAAAACCAGTGCTCACCAACAAGTGCAGGACCCATAACCAAGTCACAGTCACCTATGTTGTACCCGACAAATTGAGGAATTATTTGTTGTGCATGGTAGTTAGGGTCCCACCGAGCTGGGTCACAGATCATTAACTCCTGATAAAGAACACAAATTGATTTTGTCAGTTTGCAATTAGTTTCTTTAGACGGTTATTTGCCTTAACAGTGTTGTTACTTTATATACTACACTTGTCATTTGCCTTTGAGGACTTGTAATTTTCATATCCAAACTTATCATTTCACAAACTAATGAAGAAACCTCACCATGAAGTCCGCATAAAAAATATGCCTCCTTACATGCCCTTCCACAGCCTGTTGCTCATCCACCACAGCCTTACAAACTAATGACATGACCCTGTTACTAACTCTGTTATTTCCCCCAAGAGAATGCAGCAAGCGTCGGGTAATATCTTCATCATACATTTTAATCAAAGGACTGACAATGGTTGAAGTGAGTTAGCATATGGGTTATGTTAACAAGTGATAACAAAACCCCATCAGAAAAGCTGAGTATCACAATACTTACTAGTCACCTTCATCACCTTTCACACTTCGGCTAACAATGGTGAAGAAAATTTCTTTATCCTCTGCAGGCCTCTTCAACCTTGTTTGTGCCTTCAACTCCAACCAAGGAGACTTAATTTTGTTGAAGCGAACCCTGGTAGATCTCCTTACTTGTTGTGCCTGCACACCTTCAGCTGCTGTCACAGTTCCACCCTGATGGGGTTTGCCTCTCAACAGGGTCAACATATTTGACAATTGCTAGGGGGGATACAGTGACGGCTGTGTCACCCTCCGCATCATCACCTTCAACATTAGATGACAGGTTTATGGGGGTAGTAGGCGTGGGTATGTCACCCTCCATTTCATCATTGTCCTTCTGTGCACTCTGTCCCTCATCCTTGTCCTGACTATCTTCATCATTCTCTCCATCATCCTTTTCCTTGCCTTCCTCCTCACTTGTCCCATCATCACTCCCCCTGTCACCTTTCTCCTTGTCCTCCTCCTCCTCCTCCTCTCTTGTCTCATCATCACTCCCTTCGTCATCTTTCTCCTTCTCCCCACTACTCTCACCATCACTCCCTCCATCATTCTTCTGCACAGCTTCACTAGTCTCACCAGCATGCTGTCTCTCCTCTCATCGTCATCTTTTGACCCACTAACAATTGATGCGAGTGTCTCAGCATGAGCGTTTCCTTTTCTCTTCCCATCTGTCTCTCTTGGAATGTGCACCTTCAACAGCTCCTCATCTACCATATTCATCAGCCTCTGATGGCTTTCTTCTATCCTCTCAATTAATCGTGCATGTAACTGCTTCAGCTCCTGCATGACAATGGCGTTTATCAATTTACTAGCAACATAATTATACCACATCATGATCTCACTATTACAGATGACAAGCTCACTTTACCCAATGACAAGTTAACTATTATAAATAACAACTTCAGTATATGAAATTACAACCTCACTACACTATAACAAATTACAACCTCTCCCTATTGCGAATAACAAGTTCATCAGTAGTATAAATAACAACTTCGGTATGTCAGATAACAACTTTACTATATCAAATGACTAGTTCAGTTTAGCCAATCACAACTAATAAATTATAATTAGCAACTTCGGTACATCAAATAAAAACTACATTGTAACAAATGACAGGTTCACTTGACCCCATCACAACTCAGGCATAATCAATAACAACTTTATCAAATAACAACCCAAACCTGATCTTTACCGAATGACAAGTTCACATTACCCAATCACAACTTTGGTACCGTTTTTAACAGGTTAAGTTTATCAAGTAACAATGTCAACTATAACAAATGACAACTTCACTAAACCTAATCACAACATAAGTTTTATAAATACCAAGTCAGTTTATCAAATGACAATGTAACTATCACAAACAAGAAGTTCACCAAGAATATCACTCTACCAAAGATATACATACTGGGTCCAGAGAATCAACATTTATCCTCTCGTCTTTGCCAGACACAACATCACTCCCTTTCTCACCATACAACAGCCCCCTAATGCTCTTCCTCTCAATATTTGCCAATTCTTTGATCTTCTCATCTGTCCAGTATTGGATAGCACTGGTGGAGCCTCGCTGCAAACCTTGGATGAGGTTAAAATGCTCACCGAAAAAAAGCTGCAACACCACATATCATCACCAATTACATTGTTCATATTGCCAATAAAGTATTGCACATTGAGAAACAAAATAGTCATACCAGAAGCAAGTATACGCAGCCACCAACAGTACTGCTCCCTTGCCCATCATTACCCTGTCTATACAGCTTCACAAAGTCAGCCATTTCTTTCCATAGGTCCTCCATAACATGTGTTGCCCAATCATACTTTTCAAAGTCATCTATCGTGGAACGCATGACTCTCACCAGCCTCTCACTCACTTCTGAGCTAGATGACGGACATAGAAAGGTACCCAACGTGTATAGGACAAACAAGAATTCAAATCTATGATCTTCCTCCCCAGAAATAATGTCATCTAGTATTTTGTTGAATGGCACTCTCCGATACTGATTCTTCAAGTTCTTGTACATTTCATCATCCTCCGAAACTTCAATTTTAATCTTCTCCCCACCATGGCGTATTCCTAGGAGCTTCTCAACATGTTTTGCTCCTATTTTCTCAGTTTTTCCCCGTATTGTAAATTGATGTGTTGGTGGGTCATATGATCTTAGCATAGTCACAATGAGATCGCGGGGAAGTCTCTTCAATCCAACCTTCAACAAGCTTCTAAATCCTATCCTCTCCACCCTATCCCTTAACTCATCATTATTATTCACAAAGTGCAGTAATTTCTTAAAACCTTTCAAGAACACTCGGGTTAAAAATGATGGTACATATTTCTTTTTCTTCTCCTCTTCAATCTTTTCTGGCCTTCTTTTCTTCGCCTCCTCTGTGTACCTCTTCCTCTCCTCATCAAACAAAGCTCTCCATGCCTTTGACACAGCATCTCTTTTTTGTTTGCCTTTGATATCACTATCACCTAATGTCGCCAAATACTCCCTTCTGAATAGCAACCAGCCATTGTGTGCCGGCTTTGATCCGGAGGCTCCCTCAGATGCCATGTCCTTTTTCCTGCAAAATATTCAACATACAATAGTTCACTAACACAACTTATTAATTGACTAACAACAATTCTGTCAATACTCGTTCTGTCAATCAAACGCCTATGATAAACTTGTTATTCTCTCTACAAAAGTTGTCAATCCTTAAGCTCAACTTGTTATTCCCACATACTTATCATAATTTTTATTTCTGATCATACACTAGTCATTTAACTTGTCATTTGAAATGATAAACTTGTCTTATTGTCATACTCAGCTTTGTTATTCAAACAAGTCATTTCCTATTATCAAATTCTTACTTCCGCATACAAATCTTGTTATTCACT